GAACTATTCGATCGTGTTTGTCCAGAGAGCAAAAGTATGCTTTCAAAAATGAAACTTATGCATGGAAGTTGTGAAGGGCATTGGAGGAGAAATTTTTGAAGAAGAATGGTCAGAATAAACTCCTAATGAAGAAAAGATTATTCCAATTCGATTACCAATCAGGTACTACTGTGAATGAACATATCACTATGTTTAATCAGTTAATAGCAGACCTGTTACATTTAGATATGAAATTTAAAAATGAAGATTTGGCTTTGATGTTGTTATCATCCTTTCCTGATGGATTTGAACATTTGGAGATTACGTTACTTCATAGGAAGGAGAATGTGTCTTTAGATGCTGTATATTTTGCTTTATATAGTCATGAATTGAGAAAGTAGGATAAAATAAAAAATAAAGGAGTTACAGCAGATGAAGTATTAGTGGTAAGAGGTCATCAACAAAGCCAATCAAAGAGGAGAAGAGGAAGGTCCAAATCGAAAAGCAGAGTTGCTAAAGATGAGTATGCTTTCTGTTGTGAGAAAGGACACTGGAAGAAAGACTGTCCAAAGTTGAAGAAGAAAGGAAAAGTTCCACAAGACGTAAGTGTTGCAGAGTGCAAAAGAGATGCGAAATCAGATTTCTCTTTGGCTGTATCACCTTCAACATCCCATCCAGATGAGTGGATTTTGGATTTAAGTTATACCTACCATATGTCTCCCATGCGGGAGTGGTTCTTTGAATTTGAAGAACTTGATGGTGAATTGTTTACATGGGAAATAATAATCCATGTAAAACAGTTGGGATAGGTTCAATCAAACTGCGTAATCATGATGGATCCACCAGAATCATGAAGGATGTTTGGTACGTACTGAATTTGAAGAGAAATCTCATCTCCTTGAAGCTTTTGGAGTCAAAAGGCCTGGAAGTGAAGATGCGAAATGGAATTCTTAAAGCAACTTCAGGAGCACTTGTGATGTTAAAAGGTGTGAGGAAAAATAAGCTATATTACTACCAAGGTAATACAGTTGTTAGGACAGCAGCAGTAGTAACATCTTCCAGTAGCAAGAAAGATGCGGAGGCAACAAAGTTGTGGCACATGCGATTGGGACATGCTGGTGAAAAATATTTGCAAAATCTTGCCAAGCAAAGATTGTTGAAAAGTACGAAAGCTTGCAAATTAGAATTTTGTGAGCATTGTATTCTGGGAAAACAAAGAAGAATGAAATTTGGCACTGGCATCCATAATATCAAGGGTATTTTGGATTATGTGCACTCAGATATGTGGGGACCTGCCAAGACTCCATCCCTTGGTGACAGGTACTATTTTGTCACTTTTGTTGTTGATTTTTCAGAAGAGTTTGAGTGTTTACTATGAAGAACAAGGATGAAGTGCTAGGAAATTTTCTTAAATGGAAAGGTCAGGCTGAAAACCAGACGGGAAGAAAGATCAAGATTCTCCGAACAGACAACGGTGGAGAATACAAGAATGATCCCTTCCAGAAGATATGCCAACAGTGTGGCATAGTTCGGCATTTCACAATTAGAAGAACACCATAGCAGAAATGGGGTGTCAGAGCGCGTATGAACAAGACACTAGTGGAGAAAGTACGTTGCATGCTGTCTAATGCTGGGTTATACAGAAAATTTTGGGCTGAGGCTGTGACATACACTTAACATCTCGTCAATCGCTTGCCATCATCTGCAATAAGTGGCAAGACTCCATTAGAGGTATGTTCTGGAAAATCTGCAATAGATTATGATTCTTTGCATATTTTTGGTTCTACAATAAATCAAAGTTGGATCCACGTGCAAAGAAGGCTCTCTTTATGGGCTTTAATGTTGGAGTTAAAGGATACCGTTTGTGGTGTCTAAAAGCAAAGAAGACTATTATTAGCAGGGATGTTACCTTTGATGAAACTACCATGTTGAATAAGGTAACACAAGATGGAACAGGTGGAGTGTATGCCGAAACAGGTGGAGTTTGAGCAAATAGTGAGCCCAACAAATAGCACCATCAGTGACTCTCCCATGGTAGAAGAGGAGTCAGATGAGGAAGAGGTTTCAACCCAAAAACCTCAACAGCAACAAGAATCAATTGCCGTCAATAGGTCAAAACGATAAATTCAAAAACCTGCTCGTTTTGCTGACATGGTGGCCTATGCACTTCCAGTTGTTGATGATGTTCCATCCACTTTTTCTGAAACAGTTCGAAGTACAAAAAATGGTAAATGGAAAGATGCTTTGGAAGAAAAGATACAATCTCTTCAGAAGAATAAGACGTAGAAGTTGACGCAACTACCGAAGGACAATAAGGAAATTATGCAAGTGGATATTTGCAAAGAAAGAAAGATTTCCTGACAAGAATGATGTTCGCTACAAGACAAGATTGGTGGCTAAAGGTTACGCTCAAAAAGAGGGAGTTGATTATAATGAGGTATTTTCTCCAATTGTTAAACATTTCTCTATTAGAATTTTGTTGGCCTTCGTAGCACAGTTAAATTTGGAGTTAGCTCAACTTGATGTGAAAATAGCATTCCTTCACGGTGACTTGAAGGAGAAAATCTATATGTCTCAGCCAGATGGATTTAAAGTTGCTGGTAAAGAGGATTGGGTTTGTAAGTTGAGCAAATCGTTGTACGGATTGAAACAATCACCGAGATAAAGGCAATGGTACAAACGATTTGACCAGTTTATAATGGGTCAGAAGTACACAAGAAGCAAATACAATTACTGTGTGTATTTGCGCAAGCTACGAGATGATTCCTATATCGACTTACTCTTGTACGTTGATGATATGCTGATAGCGTCAAAGAGCCAAGTTGAAATTGACAAAATGAAGATTCAGTTGAGTAAGGAGTTCGAGATGAAGAATTTGGGAGAAGCTAAAAAGATTTTCGGCATGGAGATAAGCAGGAATAGAACGAGAGGCAAGTTTTGTCTGACACAGAAGCAGTATTTGAATAAGGTACTACAACGTTTTGGTATGAATGGAGATTCAAAATCTGTAAGTACTTTGCTTGCTCCTCATTTGAAACTTAGTAGCCTATTATCTCTAAAGACGAATGAAAAACGGGTATACAAGGCAAAAGTCCCGTATGCTAATGCAGTTGGTAGCTTGACGTATTCAATGGTATGTACTAGACCTGACATTTTACAAGCAATTGGTGTGGTAAGCAGGTTTATGCATTATCCGAATAAGGGTCATTGGAAAACTATGAAATAGATTCTACGGTATATCCAAGATACTGTAAATGTTGGATTATATTTTGAGCAGGATGAATCACTTAGTCAATGTATAGTTGGATATTGTGATTCTGACTATACAAGTGACTTGGATAAGCGACGTTCTACGACTAGCTACTTGTTCACGTTTGCTAAGGCGTCAGTTAGTTAGAAGTTTACTTTGTAGTCAACGGTGGTTTTATCTACAACGGAGGCAGAGTATATGGCAATTACAGAAGCTATGAAGGAGGCAATTTGGTTTCAAGGACTATTTGAAGACTTGGGAATTGGTCAAAAATACAATGACGTGTTTTGTGACAGTCAGAGTGCTATTTACTTAGCAAAGAACCAGGTCTTGCACACAAGAACAAAGTACATTGATGTTCGCTATCACTTCGTACGGAAAATTCTCGAAGAAGAGGAGATTTTTCTTCAGAAGATTCGGACTACAGAGAATCCTGCAGATATGCTGACCAAGGTGGTTACAAGGTCCAAATTTGAACATTGTTTAGACTTGGTCAATATCCTGCACATTTGAGTTGGCGTCTAACGGCGCAAATTTGGAAGCACCACAAACCCTATTTGTTATTTGTTTAAGGGAGAAGGTTTGTATTTTTTGGTGGGATTAGAAATTATGCCAAGGTGAAGATTTGTTGATTTTTTTTCAACGGCCACAATTGTAGACTTTTTGGTAAAATTTATTATCCCACATCAGTAGGATTATGAGATAGGAAGGTTTGTGAGAGTTATAAATAAGCTCTCTAACTTCCCAATCCAGATGTACCAACACCAAAGAATTATTTGTAATTCTTTTTTCTCCCAAAAACTATTAAGAGCGGGTTGGTTGAGCGGTGCTCAGAGATTAGGCAAAATTGGCCAAACTCCGTTATCAATTTTTCGGGTGCGTTCTTTCTTTATTTCTTTTATTTATTCCGCATTTATTTAGTAGTTTCTTTTCTATTGTAGTATAGTATTCAATATATTTGTCAGGTATATTTGTAGTGTTTTATACGGTTCATTTGGGTGTATTTTCTTATTCGTGTGTACGTATTATTTATGTATACACGAGTCTAGTTATGATAATACACTGTGCACGTAAATTCTATCTAGGAGACTGGATTTTAAGTGGGACCGCTTGTGACCCCTCCAGTCTTTCCTGAAAATTTATTTGGAATGATAATTCTGTCTAAGGAGATTGTTTTGACGATTTTTTCTGGGAATTTTTGAATCGGTTTAATCACTAATTGAACATTTGAGTGAGAAATTACCCGATTTTTCCAACAGCCTTATCCTCCCTTCTTGTTCAAGGCGCTAAAAATCATTGTTTAGGTGGTACAAATTTGGGTGAATGTTGCAATTAACCCTACTAGCTACTGTTTATTTCAGTTAATATGCAACTCAAAGTATTAAATTAACATTTGTCTGTTGAAAATGGTAGTGTTTCAATCTGTTATTTTGATTAGAGATAATGGTGGAGAAGGGGATCTGAGACAACAGAATAATACCATTTGACGTATGTTCGTTTAAGATATACTTTCATTAATATCATTCAAATCATTGACCAAAATCCATGATACCCTTAGAAATAAACTCAAACACCTAACACCTTGAACATCACGAGCAACATTTTGACTCTTCTTGTAGCTTTGCTCTCATCCTAATTTAAAATGACATTCTCACGTTCAACATTTTTCCATTTTTTTTGGCTTTTGTCTTTTGTTCCCTTATCTAAAACATCAGTAGCTGCAATAGGAGACAACAGTATTGGACAATTACATACATGCACAATTTTCCATCTAAAATTGCATGGCTATAGACACGTCTGACTTCTCATCATCCTCAGAGGAAAACGCCGTCAAATGAAATTTCTTAAACCTTTCTTCAGTAACTTGATCCAAATGATCCATCATTTCACTTTCAAGATAGTTTTGGGAATCATCAATCTGACCTTCCCTGAAAAAGATCTTGTTTTCTATGACCAGAAACCCGAACCCTGAGTGTGATCCTATTTTATTCACATCCAGGTTGCTCAGATTCTTAAAACTACAGAGCTCTACCAATTTACTTACCAGGCTTTCACCTTCTTTGTCTGTTGAGAAAGGCAGCCCCAGGAATTCTGCTAATCTCTTTGTATGGAAACAAGGCTCTTTCTTCAAGTCCTCATATCTAATAAAGAATACTCTTTCAAGCAATTCTATACTTGCTTCCCAACACATGATGCCAATATGGTCCATATGGTGAAACACCCTTAGAGAAGTTTTCAAATGCCTCTGCTAATGAAATTCGTGGTACTGCTTCAGGTTTCAGCTTGATTACAAAGTGCCAACATGACACTGGCACATCCTTTGGGTCTCGAAAAACATAAACACTATGGCAGCCTGAAGATTTTGTAGATTCTGGTAAAGAGGAGTAAGGAATGTGAGTGTGCACGAGTGTTAGCACGAAAAATCCCCGCGCACAGAGTGGAAGCAATTTCAACACATATAAAAATATGTGGGAAGAAGAGAAGAACAAATACAATAATTTATTTAACTCAAACCTTAATAGTAACAAATATTAAGTCGTAGCCTTTTGCTCATGACAATTCACAGATCTCAATTATGAGATTTTCTCTCAAGTATAATCTCTGAATTCAACTCAACTCTCCACTTTTCTTCGATTAATAATTTACTAGACTGATAGTATTTATAGACTCTAAATCTTCCTAAAACAAATACAGTTGTAAACCAAAATTTATTTAGAAACTGACTCAAGATTTCCTAATCTAATATGGAAACTAAACAAATAAAACGTACTAGGAAACTAATGCTAAAATAGTTTGGTTTAATTTCCTTCATTGCCTCTCTTAAACCAAGGTCTTAATGTTGTCATCTCCAATGCCATCACGGGCTTGAATCTCCATGAAAAATTCAGTCACGGTATAAATGACATGGAGTTCTAACTTGCAATTGACCTTCAATTTCATCTTCACGCATGGTAGTGGACGAAACTTGTACTTCTCAACCAACTTCTTGACTTGATCACTCTTGTCAAAAAATTTAAACATCTTCACCCATAGTCCATTTGATACTCCACAATTTAATTCATTCATATCACCAATAAAGTCTCCCAAAACTAGAAAATCATAGTTGATGCTACCAATGCTTTTAACATCACCATGTTTTTCCTTTGCTTTTTTCACACTAACAATTGCATCAACTTTAGCAGTATCACAATTTTCAATTAATTTGTCCACTTCACAATTGATCTCAACCAAATCCATCACTTAATTTTTTTTCTTCAAAAATTCATCAACCTCGATAAAGTCAATAATTTCTCTATCATCATGATCTTCAATCACATCATTAATTTGATCAATGATTTCACTTTCTTTCTCAACCACTTGCAAAAATTCTTCTTCAATCACAATTTCTTCATCTTCATGTGTATCCACAATTGTTACAATTTGTTCTTTCTTTACCTCATCAAAAATTTCTTTTTCTTCTTCCTCGTCATAAATTTCTTCTCCACCATGACCATAGGAATTTATTAAAAATTTCCAAGCCTCCTTTGCTATCTTTACATGTATGAATTTTTTTGCTACATGTAACTGGACTTGGATACTGAGATAGTAGAGTGCCTTGTAATTCAACTGTCTATTCCTCTTTAATTGTTGAACTGCATCGTTTGATAATTCTATACCTGCTATAGGTTTCGTGAATCCCTTTTGGATAATATTCCAAACTCCAATGTCTTTGAAAAAATCATTCATCATCAATCTCCAAGTTTCAAAATTATTTTTACCATCAAAGATAAAAAAAAAAAAGACAATGTTGTAAATAATGCGGATCCATACTTTAATTTCAAGAAGAAGCCCCAGGATCAAAGCCTAGAGCTCTACCACTTGTTGGCATGAAAAATCCCCGCGCACACAATGGAAGCAATTCTAACACATATAAAAGTATGTGGGAAGAGGAGGAGAATAAATACTCAATAATTTATTTTACTCAAAGCTTAATAGTAACAAATACTAAGTCGTAGCCTTTCGCTCACGACAATTCACAAATCTCAATTATGAGATTTTTTCTCAAGTCTAATCTCTAGACTCAACTCAACTCTCTGCTTCAATTAATAACCTACTAGAATGGTAGTATTTATAGACTCTAAATTTTTCTAAAACAAAAACAGTTATAAACAAAAACTTATTTGGAAACTGACTCAAGATTTCCTAATCTAATATGGAAACCAGTGGTGGAGCCAGAAAAAATTCTTAGTAGGGGCAAAAGCAACACAAAAATTTTTTACTTACTCTTTTTCTAGTTTTCTAAGCAAAAAAAAAAAAAAAAAATTTCACCAACGAGTACAAATAATGCATATGTTACATGAAAAACATAAAAAGACAAATTCAAAATTATTAATGTAATAATAATTTTATTTTAAAAACAAACTAAACTATTAACAATTGTTCACTACGAATTTTTATATTTTGATAACTAACTTGGTTGTGGAAGTAAGAATGGCTCTCGGTTGTGGAGGGAAAACGGGGGACCAGTGGAGGAAAGGGAAATTGGGAAGTGAGGACAAAGGAAGTGAATGATATGATTGGATGAATTGATTAAGAAAAAGAGTACCTAACTGCTTAGTTGTGGAAGGTAGTGGCTCTCGGTTGTGGGGGAAAAATGGGGGACCAAAGGAGGGAAGGAAAATTGGGGAGTGGGGCTCAAAGAAAGTGAATGATATGATTGGTACTTGCTAGTTGAAAAGAAAAGACTTTTTTTTTTAGTTTATTTCAAATGAAATTTGTGCTTCACGCATCTTTTTAGAATTTTAGTTTATGAACTAATTTAAAAATTAAGTAATTTTTTCACATCCTTTTTAAGAAAACTTTAGGGGCACACTTAAAATTATATCAAAATTATATAAGTATTATAGGAATTTAAGGGGGACAGTGGGGGCCCATGCCCCCACCTTAAATCCACCCCTGATGGAAACTAAACAAATAAAACGTATTAGGAAACTGATACTAAAATAGTTTGGTTTAATTTTCTTCAATGAGAGAATTGGGTGGCTTTGGGTTGACAGGATTCGCTGCGGCATATGATTCCAGCATGGGAACCAATTCATGAGGGTTTGCCGTTAGCAAAGGATTTTGATCGGGATGACTGATACATGTACGATTTGTTATGGTGAAAAGAAGTGCCTTTAACCAGGTTGTTCCCGATTTTGGATATGTGGCCAGGAGAATGTCACTTGGTTGTGCCCGAAAATGTTTCTGGAGAATTAGGAGTCCCTTGAGAACTCCTGTGGAATACCAAAAACCTTGGTACAAGTGAATGTGCTCACTTAACCAACCTCTTTCCCTAGGAAGCACAGAGACCATATGCAAATACCTTTGGAGGATTTTGTCACTGTCATCTTCTTTTTCTTCATTAAACAATATTGGTGCATCACCACCTGCAATGCAGGGAGATGAGTTTAATGAAGGGATTGCCATGAGGAATTGGAACATAAAAGCTGGAGGCTGGTAGACTCTATTCTCATAACACCAGATTATTGTAGTGCGTGTTAGTAAAATAGTTGCATTAGTACGCCTGCAAGCTGGCGTGCTCAAAATTCGATCACTCCTTTGAATTTGGCCAGGACCACAGTAAAAGAGAAAGTGCAACAGAGAATTTAAGCAAGCAGAAATGGACCTCAGAAGAGAAGAAAATACTAGTATCTCTCTCCCACATAAAACGTGTGATGGAAATGGTTATTCAAGTCTCATCTGTCTTCCTTTCCTCAATATTTGCATGTGGACAGGATCCATAAGAGTTTTTCTCAGGATTTTTCTCCAGCGGTTAGTTATGTGATATGAAAACTTAACAATTTTAGTGCTCAAATGATGCGAAAGTACCCGGGGGCATAAGACCACCTTGATCATATTGTCTAAAGATTCATATTCTCAACCCAGTAAAATTCCTTATTGCTACTAGAGTAAACCATGATTGGCTCTTTCAAAGTAGCAAAACACCTACTTGGGAGCCCTTTTCTCAGAACCTGTTTGAATGATGGGAACTGGAAATAGCGCTAAAACTATTAATATCATTTCATTTGTGCCTCTTATAAGTAGCTCACTCCAATGCCACTTTAACCAGCACTCACAAAGGTTCAGATGCCAAACCGTGGATCCAGAGCTCAAAAGTCACAAAGGTTCGGGATTGTTTGGGAGGAAAGAAGTGGGAATATTTAGCTCAAAGTTTTCATTCACAGATATGTAGCGCACATGTTAAATATGACGGTCCACAGTCATAAATTTTGTCCATCCAAAATCAAAATGTAGTATTGCAGTAAAGCAGGACCATCACATCTCCCCATCACTGCTCAGTAAAAATCATTAGGATTCTCCTTTCAACCTTGACCTCAAACAGAGTTACGGAGTCCAAAAACTTTTACATGGTAGCCTAATTATTATCTATCTAGTTGATTGTTACTGTGGCTACTTCAGCTGCTGCCACATGGCACTATGAAAGGTGAAAGCTTTTTGATCTGGAGCCCGGGCTACAAACTTTGACATATGGGTCGGTCTGCCTGCTTTCCAAGAAAATGGGAAAAGGGCCCATCAACTTCATGTTATCGTTTTGGCAAACTTTTTTTTTGGTAGAATTCAATGTGTAGCGTGCAGCCTATGCCAAGTCAGGAGACTAGCCATCTCATCCCTGTTTTTTCGCGTTTTGCTTCTTTGGCTGGATGTCTTCGAAGACTTTGATCTTTGATGGGCATACTTTCATCTCATCTTGATCTTTTAATCGCATCTAATGTCCTGATTTCCAGGAAAATTTTTTCCCTTGCCTTTTATTTGTATTTGCACGTCTTTTTCTCTAATCACATTCTCGCTTTAACCTTCGTTCATTCTGGTTTTGGCTTTTTTTCCCCCTATTGATTCGATATGTGCAATTTCATACGGAAGTACAATTTTTTGTTATTTCCTTTTTGGTTTGAACATTTGTTTTTTCTTCTTTTTATTTCCTTTCTAGGGTTTAATGAATCTAAATTTTGTTGGACTATAGTGTTGATTTTTTTGTTGGATTTTCACAACAGATGAAGATAAGAAATAGGTGAATTTATTTTATTCTCATTTTCGGTTGTGATGATACAATATTGTTGCCATGAGTTGTGTTTCAGGCTTGATACTAACTGGATTTAAGCTGTATCTTGGCGAGGCAACTCAGATGGCATTTTGGAGTATATATTATTCTAGAACTGCAACTGAGTT